GTCCTTTGAACCGTTTCGTGGCGATCGTTTCGCCTCGGAGACAGCCGCAGCACATGCCGCGTATTCGTTGTCGCGCGCTTTCTCGCGTCGAAGACCGTCGTTAACCCGAATTTCGCCGGCCAGTTGTGCAATCGTTGACGAACGGCTATTTTTGTGCGTCATTAACTCGCGATTGTGTTGTCAGGCCGCCGCGAGATAACCGCCCCGATGAATCCACAATTGGAAATGCACCTGCTGGGACAAAGAGCGATCGCAATGCGACGTCTCTCCTCGATCTTCGATCATCTTATCGCATAGTCGTCTTGCCGAGCAGCCAGCGTTCCATCGTCGAAATTCAGTTCCTTAAGCTTAATATCCCGAGAAAGTTTATTCCGCTATATAAATTCAAGATCTACTATGCTATAATCATAAATCTTGAAACAACGCTAAAATAATTTCGAAATCCCGGATCACTGTGCATTAATCCGGTTCAGCCTTCTTCGGCCTCGCGTGACCTTATTGATCTCCGAGTCATGGATCGCGTGACAACTGTGCAAGCGGCTCGCTCGGATCGTTAGACGATCGCTGGAGTGAGACGATTATGAAGAAAATGAAGACGTCCGACGATCCACTTCGCGTCACGGCAAGGGCAGACGATGGTCCCGAGCCTGGATGATTCATTCGCGATCGTCGTCGGATCGCCAAGGTCCCGGTTGATCGCGGCACCCAGGAGCAACGATCGAACGAGGCTCGATTTCCTCTCGGCCTCGGCAAACAGGAAATTAACGACGAATCGAACGGCGTAACCGGACGGTCGATCAGCTTTAAATCTGTCGCAGGTTCGGGAAGTAATTACCGGGCTGAATTCGGTGCTCGCGACCCAATTAGATCCGCGGCTGGATCGGCCGGTTGTTTTCGGCTCGATACGCAGCGGGCCGCGAGGTCGTACAAAAGCGGCACGGTCGCCGGAGCGAACCGGTTGCGATTCAGACTTAACGAGATCAGCGTCGTTGGCGCATCCATTGAAATCGTTAGCCGCCACGAGTGTGCGAAAAGCGATTGGTTCGTCCGCCATGTCGACGTGGAAGTTCACCTGTTCCCGTCGAGCTGCCGCTTCGACCGCGAGCTTTTGAAAAGCACGGCTGCGATCGCGAAAGAAGCGAACCGAATCTTTTGCGTCATCTATCGGCGGACGAGGGTCCGGCTGTTTTCGTGGGTACATTTGGTCCGAGGTTTTTGCCAGGCACCCCTCGTTGACGTCAATCTCGTTCCCATAAGCGGAGCACATGTGTGCTCTCGCGGTTCGCCCGATCCGCTCGCGACTCCCTGCGCCGTGTCCTCCCGATGACGATGGTCCGTTTAAACGGCCAATCAAAAGTCCACGGTGACCCAGTTCTTCTCGCGATCGATCGCGACGGTTCCAGCCGCGGGACACCTCGGTCCCATCGATCGCCACCTCGATCCGACCTTCGTTGACGAGCCACGATCGATCCAGAGGCCACTTAGTTGGTTGTTGAAATCGTGGGAGGCCTGCTCTGTCCTCGGTCCACATTGTCCTGCGAATAGTTGGCATCCGTTCTGCATCCTAACTGGATCCACTGCTCCGCGGATGCATCGAGATACCGATGGAATTTATTTATTTATTTTATTCGAACCGGATAACCCGTTACTACAGAGAGAAGTATAAACGTTAAGATTTAACCCCTTGTCGTACCATTTTCTTTACAGTCGTGATGACTAGAAGTTTCTTGATTATAATCACATTTCTCAGAGAGAGAAGAAAATTTATATTTATTGCGTGCCTACGTTTCTTTAAACGTTTAAATATTGTGGAGAAAAGAACAGAATTTTAGACGAACTTGAATGAACAGAGTAACATTCGTACTCAACAGGTTGCTACTAAAAACCTTTATTAAGAGTTAGACTCGCTAAAGTACGGAAAGGGTTGTTTAGGTTGAATTGTAATGAAACGCGGATTAAGGATTCTTTTATCGTATACGATGATATATATGTACAGGGTGTCCCAAAAATGTCTCGCAATCCGTAAGTCGGAGATTCCTGAGGTCATTTGAAGCAACTTTTTCCTTAGCGAAAATGCAATCCGCGGCTTCGTTTACGAGTTATTAACGAAAAACAGTAACCAATCAGAGGTGAGATCATTTGGCGCGAGACGGCCGAGCCAATGAGCAGAACTGGGCTCCGTGCACTCGTTGGCTGGGCCGCCGCGCGCCAGCCGAACTCGCCTCTTATTGGTCAGTGTTTTTCGTTGATAACTCGTAAACGAAGCCACGGAGAACATTTTCGCAAAGGAAAAAGTTGCTTCAAATGACCTCAGGAACCTCCCATTACTGGATTACGAGACATTTTCGGGACACCTTGTATATTGTGGAGTAGTTGAGTGCAGATGATGAGATGACACAGATGACACAGGCTCATAATTGCGATTAGTAAAGAGCACAGATTGCCCACTGCGCCAAGAGACAAGACGCGAAAGCCGATGCCGCACTCTCTCTATAGGTTTGATACGTTTGTCAAAGCAAGCCGCTTCAACCCTTCCAAATTAAGGAACAATATTCAAGGACCGAACACGCAAACCGTGCAAGTTCGCGCCGACCAAATGGCTCCGGAGACCACTTATTGTCATTGAATACGCGGGCCTATTTTATCGTCGNCAATCCGCGGCTTCGTTTACGAGTTATTAACGAAAAACAGTAACCAATCAGAGGTGAGATCATTTGGCGCGAGACGGCCGAGCCAATGAGCAGAACTGGGCTCCGTGCACTCGTTGGCTGGGCCGCCGCGCGCCAGCCGAACTCGCCTCTTATTGGTCAGTGTTTTTCGTTGATAACTCGTAAACGAAGCCACGGAGAACATTTTCGCAAAGGAAAAAGTTGCTTCAAATGACCTCAGGAACCTCCCATTACTGGATTACGAGACATTTTCGGGACACCTTGTATATTGTGGAGTAGTTGAGTGCAGATGATGAGATGACACAGATGACACAGGCTCATAATTGCGATTAGTAAAGAGCACAGATTGCCCACTGCGCCAAGAGACAAGACGCGAAAGCCGATGCCGCACTCTCTCTATAGGTTTGATACGTTTGTCAAAGCAAGCCGCTTCAACCCTTCCAAATTAAGGAACAATATTCAAGGACCGAACACGCAAACCGTGCAAGTTCGCGCCGACCAAATGGCTCCGGAGACCACTTATTGTCATTGAATACGCGGGCCTATTTTATCGTCGATTTACATCGGGTTCTTCGAGTACTTGGCATGCTCTCCGGACTGGATCCAGAGCCTCTCGGATCCATTCGTGATACTTAGAGCGGCCGCGAAACGCGCAGATTCGCGTGAACCGAACGACTCGATAACTTCCGGCCGTCGAAGGCAATCGTCGGAGCAGCTTTGTTTGAAGAAACTCTCGGAGGCACTCGCGCTGCAAAATTCATCCGCGCTCCGCGCCAAGAACAATATTTTCGTCTGCGCGTACACGGGACCTTTGTTCCGGCCCGGGGAGAGGAGGGAAGAGCGTGACTCTTTTTATCGTTGCGAGAATACCGTTTCGCGCGGGAGATGGCGCGAGAGGAGGCGGGAAACGGGCGAGACCGACGGGCAATAATTACGGAGCATTTAATACCTACGCTCCGGCGCGGGGCCTACGCAAGAGCGCGTGTGTCCGACAGAATGACGAATCATGTGGCCGAGCCTCCTCTTCTCTCGTCGCGGCTAGCGGTTTTCACGATTCACGGGCCTCTCCGGCTGCTGCACGGACAGAAAACGCCTCGATTCGTGGAATATCGAGCGGGCAACGCCGGAGATCAAGGCCACCGCCGAACCGCCGGGCTCTAATCAATCGAGAATATTTTTAGACCGTGATCTCTCGCGCGAGGGACCCGCGCTTTTGAGCCTTCGCTTTTTAATTGGCCGCGGGTCAGGGCAAACTAGCACAGAGATACCGTCCACCAGGAAGCCCGAAAATCATGGTGTTCCGTCGCTGGATCGGGACCTTGGGGCTCGACCCACTTTCCACAATTTTTCCCAGACTCTGCGACGACCTCTGCGGTTCCGTGCACCATTTCAGTACATCCTCGGTCCTTTCTGCGAGCGTCATCATTTTTTCACAGGTCGTCGACTGATTTCTAGCGAAATGTTTCCGTGGCCACCGAGCCTCTTTCGGAAGCCTTACAATTTTTATGCACGCCCTAAAATGTTTGCTGCAGGTTTCGATACGATTTCATAGGCTCTAAGTCTTCCCCGGTAGCCTCGTGATTTTTCACTAGGCTCCCTAGTGGTTCTAGTTTATTTCTTAGGGCTCTGTGCCTCTTCCGGTAGCTGTACGATTTTTTCGCAGGCTCAAAAATATTGGCAGCAGGCTGCGGAACTAACGCCTTTGCTTCAGACTCTTCCCGAGAACTCTACAATTTTTCTGTAGTCCCTTGAACGTTCGTTGCTTGTTTTAGTGATTTCGCGTTCTCCCGGCCTTTCCCGGGAGCCCTAAAATTTGTATCTAGCTCCAGCAATGTCCTCCGAGTTCCGAAAAAATTGCCACGTGTCCCCGAAGACTTTGAAGTTTCGGGAACGGCGGTCGATACCGCCAGAAAAAGCCACGCTAACGGGACGCCCGCGAAAATTGCCCGAGAGGCCCTCCAGGCGTGTCTCTTTTTCCCTCTTTCGCCCGCGGTCTCTGTCCCGCGCGCTCTTTCTCTCCCTTTTCCCCGTTGTTCAGCTCGGTGTCAAGGACTCGGCTCGATGTGATTAGCGTAGAAGGGCGCGCCAGCACGGTAAACCGTCGCGCCGCGACGGACGGCGTTCCCGCTAGCGAATTTCGGGACAAAAGCGTTCCCGCGGGACACTTGCCAGAGACTGAAATACTCCGGGTCTGGCCGACAGTCGAACTACTCTTTCCCTTCGAACGCCGTTTCTCGCTCGTTGAGACACAAAGGGACCGAGAGAACACAGTGATTCTCTCTCTCTATTTCTCTCTCCCTCTCTCTAACGGCTTCGTCGTTTGTGTTGCAGGTCCGTCCGCGGATTTCAGCAGGCACACGCTGGTCAGGCCACAGGTCTATCACGGGAGAACCAAACGGGAGATCTCGACGACCAAGGAAAACGTGAGTACCGGTCGTCACTTAATTTAACCCTCGAACTGCGGTGACCGAGTCGTTTTGACCCAGTGTATTTAAAATCGTCACTTACATCATTACATATTCGGTTATCGACAGTTAAATTTAATTTTCGGTTACGCTAAAAGCAATAAAAAAAGTTCGCTTGCGCGAAGTATGTTTAAAAATGTGTCCTGGAAAATTGGTTTATGACACTGGAAATGTTTAGAAACATCGTCGATTGTATAGGGTTGCGGAGCGGATGACCAATTGCTGTGCCTTTGGTTTGTTTTCCGACACGATTAACTTCATATTTGTAATTATTTTTCATTAATTATTGTATAATTATATTTCATTTTCATTTATATTATTATTCTATCGAATGCCCGTAGAAAAATCGCCCGTTCACGCTAAATAAATTAAAATTAAAATATATCGAGATTCTCGGGTCGATCGAGCACCGGCACGAAGGAAAAATAGTTGGGACAGGGCAGGGGGAATAAAATATTCGGCGAAGCTTGCGCGGCGCATTTAATCAAGAAGGTGCGGAAAACGCGCTCGAATCTGGAGCGCCGACGGAGCGCGGGTCCGCGGCGCGGAACTTGGAATGCTGGCCGCGGTGCCGTCGACACACGGGTGCAACAATTTCGATGCAAATGTCGCGTCGCGCGGCGCCGCGCCGCGAATACCAAATCCGAGGATCTGCGAGGAAACTGCGACCTACCTGCCGGCGGAAGTCGTAAGGTCGCGACGAAATTTTCGTCGAACAACGGGTTCCTTCCGTCGCCGAGCATCACGCGACGGCCAGCCACGGGAACTTCCTTCCTTACGGTCGATACCTCCAGAAACAGATGTTCCCGAGACGCGTGTTGCGCGGAGCAGCTATTTTTGAACGGGTTGCCGCGATCCCCTTAAGCGCTGGATGCGTTTCGAACGAAACAAATGAACGTGACCGTTCACTGCACCAGACTGCATCCTGCGCGTCGATAGCGCGTGCTTGCGTTCTGCGTGATCACTCTGGATTGCGGATTTTTACGCTGAATAAAAATCGTCTGTATTAATCGCAGGATGCGGACAATACATAGACATTTCGTTCTTATTTAATTAATTGTTTTATCGAGTTGCAAACAATGCAGTGTTACCTTCGAATTCTTCGAAAGTTTCTTATTTCGTCTATTCGCGTTCGCCATTGAATCCACAGTCTAATGATAAGGGTTGAATCGCGTATTCGCCACGGTTGCTGTCGTCATCTTACTAATTCCTCGAACGTGCAAATAAATGTGGGAAGTCTCGGTCCGACGATCAGAAGACAATAACGATTGCTGGCACCGTTTCCAAGGGATGGAAACCGGATAACAAATTCGTTCTTCCTTGAATCATCATAATAGATTACAAACAATACATCGACGTTCTAAATTGCTTTTAATCTTTACGCTATTTTAAATCTTAACCATCCAAATCGGCAAAGACAAGTTTTAAGTGGTTTCGACAATTCCCGTGATTGTTCGTCTTCTCTGGAAGCCATACAATTTTCTCACAGGCCCTAAGATATGGTCTCCAGTGGTCCTAGAACGATTCTTTAGGATGCGAGCCCTTTCAGAGAGCCCTATGATATTTTACGGGCCCAAAAATGTTCTATGCGGGTTCTAGAATAATTCCATTGATTCTGAGTCTGCTTTGGGAAACGTAGAATATTTCCGGAGTCCTTAAACCGTTCCTTGCAGGTTATCTGATGCTCCGGGCCTCTTTTGTGAGTCGAAGAATTTTTGTACACCGTCGAAGCGTTAGAAGCAATGCTACTTAGCGAAGGAGAGATCGGATGAAAGAACAACACCAAGATCACGAATTTCATTAACTGATGCTAACGGGCTTTCTGCGGACCTCGGAGTATTTTCTTTGAATTCAAAGCTCCTCTCGGAAGCCGCAGGATTGTTTCGCAGTCCGTCACGGAGGATCGGAAAGGATCTAGACGTTCCGGATCGCAGAGATAGATCGCCGAGTCCATTGCTTGGGATTGTACGCGCCCTCGGTCTCGCGGCGTCGACGAAGCGAGGCAATTGGCCTCGTTTCTCGTTATCACGGGAAGAATGAGCGTTATCAGTGCGTCTGTCCACGACAATGAATCTAATTTCCGGTTACCTAGGGCGGATCGCCATCCGTCGCAACTCCCTAGCGATTGATTTCTGCCGATAGGATCTTTGCAGGCGGTCTTTCGCGAGCAGACGCGAGATTCGGCTGTGTATCGTATGATCTACTCGAGCGGAAAAGTACGTGGTACACTTGCAGAGAGCCGATAAGCGGCACGAGAGAACGCGTCAAAACATACTTGTCGCGTTCGCGCTGTCTACGACCGGAGTTGCCCAAGAAGTTTGTTTGAAGAGAGGGACTATAGCTCCGCTACTAGAGAAGCCTGGCCTCTCGTAATCTCTGAACACGCGACTACCTCCCACGCGAGACGCTTCTCGTCGGACTTTGCTATCTATCCAAAAACGCCTGGCCAACCGGAGAGCATCGCGTCTCCATTCCGAAGTTTCCGCTGTGCGAAGACGCATGGAAGAATGTCCCCCGCTATTGTTCCCTCTTGGTACAACGCGCGGAGGAAATTCTGTATATTTAAATTTGACTGTTTTGGAAATGTGGACACTCCGATCTAATATTTTAGGCGTTTTACCAATTTAACAAACTTGCTAATCGCAAAACTGAACGATAAAATGTACATTGAGCGTTTAAAATTTACACGATTTACCCGATTTTCATCGTAATTTCGTTCCACGCATTTTGCAAAGCTGGTTTTAACTCATTCATCGACTAGAATGGTTGATGGAAGATTTTCTATCTTCAATAATAATCATTGTAATTCTTCTTTCCGTATCCTACAAAAACATTTGCAGAAAACAGCAGGATTTTTCATAAATGCGTTTTAAACGGCGATCGCTTTGTGCGATATCTGCCTGCGAGTGATTCTGTAACGCTCGCTCCAAAGGATTTTTCCCGTTTATTAAACAAGTAAATAAATAAATACACGAAAGGACAGAATTTTCTCCGCATCCTGTCCACCATAAAGGATCCGCCTCCTGAATCCCGAACGCTGACCATCGCAAAAATGGAAAGACATGTTTTGTATCAATAGCGTTCCTTCTTACCAGGGCTTGATACACCGATTCTCAAAGGATTCGTCTCGCGTTTCCCAAACACGACCGGCTCTGTATTTTCACTTCCGTGGATCCGAATGATGGAAAGAAAAATAACTGGAAAAATCTCCGCCGCGTATTTTCTCTATATTGTACGCAAGTTTCGCCGGGATCGGAGCAACTCTCGAGCACTTGTAGGCGGCGATACTCCTCCGGCTGGAGTATGTTTCGTGCAAACATCCCCGGCGGGTTTGATTACGTCGGGAGAGAGTCGGGGCAAAAAGCTGGGATTCACGGGCCGATGGTCTCCAAGCTTCCATCGATCCAGCCCGGAGCTCTCGTCTCTCTTTCTCTCTCTCTCTCTCTCTCTCTCTCTTTCCTTCCCCATCTCTCTCTGCCTCGTCTCCGGGACGAAAAAGCTTCTTCCAGGTCATACGTTTCGAGTATTCCGAGCACGCGGCGAGAGGATGCAGCCGGGATCGACGATAGATGGATCCGCGGAATTCTCCCGGCGCGGATTCTATCATCGTCGTTGGACGGCGACGGTTAGCAATCCATACCTGGCCGGTCGCCAACGGCCGGGAAACGTTTCTCGATATTCCAGTTACCGTTCCCGCCGTGACCCGCGCCCATTCCGAGTCGATATCGGGAAACAAATGTACCGAGGGGTCAGGGTTTCTCATCGAACCTCCCGCCCCGCACCACCTGTCCCGCTCCCGACAGACTAACGAATCGCGACGGCCTCCTACAACCGACGAATCGAATATTTTTATCCGATTCGAAGCTTCCGCTTCTCCTTTTCCTCTCTCCGCTACGCTCCTGGCTCGTCGGATCGACCCTTATCGAATCCTCCGCGATTTTCTTCGACCGCGATTACAATGCAGTTTCTGCGGTCTAGATGAGTACAAATCTTGGTGAACGAACAAATTTTGCAGTTTCTGCAGTCTGGATAATTGAAAACGTTGGTAGATCAAAAATGTTCGCAGTTTCTGCAGTCTACGCGACTATTAATCTTCGTAGCCCAAACATTTTTGCAGATTCTGCAGTCTACATGAGCATAAATCTTGGTGAAGCAAAAATCTTTGGAGTTTCTGCAGTCTAAACGAATATAAATCTTGGTAATCCAAGTAACGTTGCAGTTTCTGGCAGTCTAGATAAGAAAGAATCTTGGTAAACCAAAAATGTCTGCACTTCCTGTAGTCTAGATAAGTGCAAACCTTAGTAAACCGAAAATGTTCGTAATTTCTGCAGTCTACGCGAGTATAAATCTTGATAAACCAAAAATGTTCGCCATTTCTGCAGCCTGCGTGAGTATAAATCTCGGTAAACTAAAAATCTTTGGAGTTCCTATAGTCTAAATGAGTATAAATCTTGGAAGATCGAACATCGTTGCAGTTTCTGCAGTTTAGATAAGAAGGAATCTTGGTAGACTAAAAATCTCAGGAGTTCCTTTATTCCAGATAAGAAGGAATCTTGGTAGACCAAAAATCTCTGCACTTCCTGCAGTCTAGATAAAAAGGGATCTTGGTAGACCAAAGTTCTCTGCATTTCCAGTAGTCTAGATAAGTACAAACATTGGTAGAGCATCAAATTTCAGCAGTTTCTGCGATCTAGATAAGCACAAATCTTGGTAAATCGAACAGTTTTGCAGTTTCTAACGCCTGCACGAGTACAAATCTTGATAGATAAAAGAATCCTCGTACTTTCTACCTTTTATATCCTAGTGGAATGCAAATCTCGGTAGAACAAAGATGTTCGCAGCTTTCACAGCTTAGACAAGTAGAAATCTTGGTAGTCCAAATATCTCTGCAGCTTCTACAATCTAGTCGTGTAGAACCGCCTATCCTCTGGGTATCTCTCTCTGGAGGCTCTTGCTTC